AATAAAAAATTGGACAACACCAAGGCTCTAGGCACTAGCTCCAACGCTTAGGCCGCCTAGCGTTTTATGTAACCTTGTTTGACCAAATGACAAATAAGTATATTCACAATTTTCACAGGTTTTAACATACGAATTGTCCAGTTTTGACCTAATGGCAATTAACTAGTCGTACACTTTAGAACTCGCAATTTTCATGGGTTACATCCTATAATTTTTGTGGATTTCATTTATTTTCGACCCAACAGAAACAAATTACGTCCTTCAATATTCATGATTTTTTTTGGGGTTATAACCCATAAGTTTCATTAGTTTTCATTCGTTTTGGCCTAATACCAAATAAGTATGCATGCTTAAAAATTCACGATTTTAATAGGTGTATAAGCAAAAGAAAAAAATTTGCCCATTTGTGAAAGAAGAAAAAGAAAAGTTACTAAAATTTTTTTCTTCAGTAAGTTATCAAAAAACAATCCCCTAAAGGCATCCCTCCTATTCAATGCAATATTTTATCCAGTAAGCTTTTTTGTTGTAATTTTAAGTAAAACATTATCATACAAATTTTATTAATTTTGGGTTTATATATGATTAGCATGTAGTGTAACTGGCTTGGGTCTTACTGCAAGATTCAATGTGAAGACTGTGGAGTACAATAATATTAGCTTCACAGTTTTAGATATAGGGGGTCAGAACAAAGTAATCAGTCTATATGTTGTCTAAATTCCATAGTTGAGAAAACTTAAATTTTTTGTTCTCCAACAAGCTAAGTAAACATATTTCAAAATTTGTGATTTTCATAAGATGTGGCCCATGATCTGTCAATTTTGGTACATTTCGGCCTAATAACAATTAATTGTGCAAACTTCAATATTCGCAATTTTCATAGGCTATAAATTTCGGTTTGTATCCACTACCGTTTACGACAGCAACAAAATACACTATTTTGAAATGTTATAACCCATGATTTTGGTTTTTTTTTCCGTCCCAATAGTAAGTAACATCCAACTCCAAAAGGCGATTTCATATAACCAGCGATTTTTGTCAACTTTCATTCATTTCGGCCAAATAACAACAAATTATGTGTAATTCAAAATTCATAAGTTACATAGCTATTATTCATGTTTTTTTGTCAATTTTCATTCATTTCGACTTGCAATTAAGTTTTTCATCTTCAAAATCGTGATGTTCATAGCCTATCACCAACAAATTTTGTCAATTTTCATTCTTTGACCTGATAGCAAATAAATATCCTCACCTTCAATTTTTCAATTTCCATGGGTTTTAAACAACAAATTTTCTTCATTTTTGTCTATTTCGACCCAATGGCAAATAATTAGGTGTGCACTTTAAAGATCTCAATTTTCATGGGTGTAGCCCCCAAGTTTGTGTATTTTCATTAGCTTCAACCCAACAGCTTGCAATTAAATATTTTCTTTCATAGAAAAATTATGATTTCCATAGGCTATAACTTGTGGTTTTTGTTTTTCAACCCAATGGAATTGAAAAAAGTATGCGTATTTTAAAATTCGTGATTTTCAGGTGCTAAAGTCCTTGGTTGTTTTCTATTTTTGAATGTTTCGAACCAACAACAATTATTTGTTTATTTGTCCATCATCAATTGTTTGTACCAATAGCAATTAAATTATGACTACTGAAGATTCATGATTGTAATGGATTATAGCTCACGATTTTGAAAATTTTTGTTCTTTCATGCCAATGATAAATAATTATACATACTTCAGAATTTGCAACTTCCATAGGCTATAACTCACAATGTTTGTCAATTTCATTCGTTTCAAAAGGCAATAGATTTTGCATACTTCAATATTCGCAATTTTCATGCGTTATAACCTATGAATATTGTCCACTATCTATTGTTCAACCAAATGGCAATTAGTTATGACTACTTCAAGCTTCATGATCTTGATGGGTTATTACCCACGATTTTGGCAATTTTTGATCGTCAAGTCCAAATGGCGAGTAGTTATACATACTTCAAAATCAACGATTTCGATGCGTTATAACACAATTTTTATCAATTTTCGTTCTTTGGACCAAGGACAAATAAGTATGTATACCCATGATTTTTTTCTACTTTTCATATGTTTTGACCTAATGGTAATTAATTAGGCGTACATTTCAACATTCGCAATTTTCATGGGTTTATCATTCTTTTTTATCCAATGACAACTAATTCTGCATACTTCGAAGTTACAATTTTTACAGGCTATTACCATGATTTTTGTTAATTTCATTCTTTTTCACCCAATAAAAAATAAATATGTGCACTTCAAAATTCACGATTTAGTTAATTTTGTTCGCTATAGCCCACGATATTTTTCCATTTTTTTGCTTCGACCAAATAGAAATTAATTAAGCATATTTTGAAATTTGCAATTTCATAACGCTATCTAATCTATGATTTTTGGTCATTTTCGTTCGTTTTGACCCACTGGCAACTGATAATGTGTAAAACATTCGCAACATGTGTTACAACACATGCTTTTAGGATATTTTAGTTAGTTTTGGTCCAATGGCAATTAAATTTCTTTTCATAAAAATCTCGATTTTCACGAGCTATAACCAATGATTTTTTAATCTTTGACCAAATGACAAATAAATATGCGTACTTCAAAGTCTCTGACTTTTATGGGCTATAATCTATTAATTTTGTCTACAATTGTGTAAACTTAAATACTCGTGATTTCATGGGCTTTGACCCATGATTTTTTTTCCATTATCATTTTTTGGACCAAAGGTAATTAATTATGCCTACTTCAAAATTCACAAATTTGGCCATTTTTTTCATTTTGTCCCAATGATAAATAATCATACGTACTTTAAAATTCGCAATTTTCACGAACCCACGATCTTTATCAACTTCCGTTTTTTCAATCCAATGGTAGTTAATTATGCGTACTTTTAAAATTCGCACCTTTCATGGGTAATTAACTACAATTTTTAAACTACATGAATTTTCATAGGCTATAATCCACAAGTTTTGTCAATTATCATTTTTGTTTCGACCCAATGGTAATGAACTTTCTTTCTTCAAAAGTCTCAATTTTCATGGGTTATAAGCAACGATTTTGTTAATTTTCATTCAATGACCCAATGGCAAACTAGTGGGTGTACCTTAACCTTCATCGTTCTCTTTAGCTATAATTCATGATCTTTGTATGATTGCTTTTTTCAACTTAATTGCAATTAATAAGACGTATACTTTAAAATTCACAGTTTTTAAGGGTTATAACACATTTTCGTTCGTTTGGACCCAATGTCAATTAACTAAGCATAGTTCAAAATTCGCAATTTCATAGGTTTATAACCCATGATATTTATTCATTTTTGTTCTTTGGACTAAGGGACAATTAATCATGCAAACCAAAAAATTCGCGATTTCCATAAGTTACAATCCATCATATTTTGTCTACGGTCATTGACCTAATGAAAAATAAAATTTCTTTCATAAAAAATCATGATTATCATGGGCTATGACAATGAGTTATGTCAATTTTTGTTCTACAACCCAATAGCAAATAAGAATATGTGCTTCAAATTCGTGGTTTTCATGGAACAGTCCATGATTTTTGTCAATTTTTGTTTGTTTTAAACCCAATAACATTTAACTGTATGTGAACTTCAATATTCCCGATCTTTATGCACTGTAGCCCATGATTTTTATCCATTATCAATCGTTTGTTGGAATTAATTATAAATACTTCAAAATTTGCTTTTTTTATAGATTTTGGCAATTTTTGTTATTCATGTTCCTAGGACTAGCAATTATATGTACTAAACTATTTGCAATTTTCATTGGCATCCATGATTTTTGTCAATTTTGTTCGTTTCGACCACATGACAATTAATTATACATATTTAAATATTTGTGATTTTCATGGGCTATTACCAACAATTTTCAAAATTGGCAAATTTCATTGCTATAACCCATAATTTTTATCAATTTTCTTTTATTTCAACCCAATGGAAAATGAATTTCTTTTTGTAAAAATCACAATTTTTAACCAACACTTTTGTTTCTTTCTTTGACTCAATGGCAAATAAGTATGTACACCTTAAAGTCACCTTAAAGTTCATACTTTTCATGGGCTTTAACCCGTGAATTGTCCATTTTGTCTGTTTCGACCTAATAGCAATTATTTAGGCACGCACTTCAAAATTCACAATTTTCATAGGTTACATTACCCATGATTTTTGTGCATTTTCATTTGTTTCACCCAATTGAAACAAATTATGTTTACCGTAGAATTCGAGATTTTTATGGGCTATAACCAATAACCAATAGTTTTGTTAATTTTTATTCGTTTTGACCCAATAAAAAATAAAGATTACCCCGTCTTTTCTGGTCAATTCTATCAAATAATATGACCAATAAAATATAATGATCAATCCTATTAATTACCCAACAAAATATGAACAAATAAAATTTATAACACAAAAAATTCACAAAAAAAGACTATGAATTTGGTAAAATGACAAATAAAAAATTTATCAAAAAGCAACATTAGAATCCTTTTAATGGGTCCATCTGATTATTAACTTAAATCACATCTGAAGAACATGAGAACAAATATAACCAACTTAATTACATTGTACTCTTGTTTTATTACTCAAATGATTAAACAAGCATAATCAGCTTTTTCAACCTATTTTATTCATAATGAAAATCCAGACTAATCCTACAAACCTCTAATAATGTCTTCATCATGCCAAAGGATCGCCTAATTGACACATTGCGCATACATGCATAGATATGCATGCATGTCTGTGTGTGTGCATAGTTCATGTATGCATCTATGAATGATAATCAAAACATGAGACTATATTAGTCATTAGATGATGCAACTATCTCATCAGTTTACTCAAGAATAAGACACTTGAAGAGCAACAGATCTCTTTTAAAAAAAAAGAAAAAAAAATCCAAGTAAACAACTCTTTCTGCAGCAAAGGCACAAAGTTACCTTCACCTATTGCTAGCTAAGCACTTAATAATAGAAAGGTAAAAGAAATTACACTCACCAGCCACGACGTCTTGAAAAATAGTCACTGTCCAGAGATACAGCAAGAGCAACAGCAACAGCTCTTTCAGTCAGAGTTAAAGGTCGGACAACTTCTAGTTCTTCTATCTACAACATTTTAAGGAAATATGATATAAGATAAAAAGATTGAGAAACATCCAAGATTATCTTCATTTGGACTTACTGTTGAAGCTAGACCGGGGGTAACACTTGAACCAGCATCCCCAAATCGGATGACATATTGACCAGCATCTGTGAAGAGCTGCCAAGAAAGTCCACTTTTAATTCATTTACAATAATGTTTTGACTGAACTAATGTACACTTGCATAGTGAATGGATGTGAAAGTTGATTCATCACTTGGAGAACAGCATCTAATTAGCCAAACCAAAAATGAACCTAAAGAAGGTAACCAGCACATTCAGAACAAGAACATTGATAATTAAACATTTACAAGGATGCCAAAAACAAAAAGATAAAGACAATAAGGAGTAGGTCTAGGAAAAGGTTTAATGACTGATGTTTCAAATTTAAATTAAATATAAAGCACCTTAAAACTCTTGATCTGCAATATATAAACGCTAATGGAATCACAGCATTGAGATAAAGTAAAATACATTTAAGGAAAGTAAGAAACAAGGACTAAAGCACAAAGCATGCTTAAATATTGTCAAATCCGATATAAAAGCTTTGATTTTCAAATCAAAATATTATGTAACTCCCCTCGCTATCTAAAGAATAATACATTTAGAACTGTGTTTCAACTTGGCTCCAGTATTATTGCGCCTCAGAAACAAAACCGATTCCTATTACGATTTGAATACTCATAAAGACTGCTTTTTACCAAGGGAAGAATTATCTCAGGTTGTCTGAATTCATTCACATGATCAATGATGTAAAAACTTTAACCAACTTCCTATGTTAATGCTTTCTCAGCTAGCCTCTCTTTCACATAACAACCACACCGACTAACAATGTTGGTACAAAGTTCGCAGCAAATTACTAGACCTGGACTTCTACGGGGCCTTCCAAATCTATACAAAACCATTTAAGGGGGAAGGATCACACACTGGCATATGAAAGAAGAGCATATTTTGTACTCTTTTACATAAATGGATCTCAGGGAATAAACAAAATCCCTAACAGTTAACAGTATTCAACTAACTATAGTCTTAATGATGATATTCCTATTAACTCTGATAAAATGCGAACAGTTAAATGAAAATAACAGAAAATTTATGAAATTGAAGTGTTTGGATTATTATATATTTGGAATTGAGAATGATAAAGCAAAGTGAACATCAAATTAAGGATATTGAATGTGGATATTGCATAAATACAGAGCCAACACATCAATGAGTAGATAATGAATGCTTATATTGCACAAATTAAGGATATTAAATGCTGATATTGCATATTAAACATTGTAGAATACATAAATGCATGACATTGAACAGATAAATCTATTTGAATGATGGACATCCAACGGATGGAACTTCCACATAACAGTTAAAATGTTCCACGAAAGCTAAGATTGCATAGGACGCAGCAGAATCAATCATAGATATAAGCATGCATATATGTGAAGCAAATCTAACCTCAAGGCCAACACCCCTCCAATCGCGATCAATCTGAGCCAATACATTGTCATTCTCATCCTTCAGGGTAAACGTCCAATTCCAAAATCCAGGGTTTTCAACCACGGCAAATTGCTTATTCCTACAATTCAGATAATTAAAAATTTTAAAATTGAATTAGTAGAGAAATGCCAGGATATTTCAATATTAAATGCTTGCTAAAAACTCCAAGAAATTGATAGTTTCTCCTTGGAAAATTATAGTATGATACCTCCTCTGAGATGCACAGCAGATTATTTTTTATATCACAACTAGATGTCGTGATACGCATACAGTAAATTACAGAATAACCTGTCATTTCAGGCCACTGGAAGTGAATTACCGACCTGAAGGACTATACTTTAGGTCACTAGAATTTAGCATAAATTGAGTTCAATGAAGATCAATTTTACATTCTAACCGCTGTGGTTAAATGCCTTTTGCTTTTGGCTGAAACATGGGCTTTTGCATATTCATATGTGCGTGATACGAATGAACTTGGAAAGATTAAAAAACTTGAGCAACCTATTGTTCTGAAAAATATAAAAAGAAAAACCAAATGTCATATGTTACCCGAGGTATAAATCATATATTCTCCTCCAAAGATGCCAGCGTCTATGAACTACACCAATTTCCTAGAGAAGAACAAAAGATTAAGATACTCACTAGGAAAAATTGGAAAATCTGTATAGCTCACCATCTAGACAGGTAATATGAGAATACACCATATACAACAAAAAACATTTACATACCTTTCCTTCAACTTCTGCATAAATACTGCTGTTTATCAACCAAATTGGCCTGCGAATCTATTACTAGATGTGATATCACAACAATGCAAAGATGAAAATTGTAGTAGCTAGAGAAAAGGGGGTAAATAATGTTTAATAGTCTATCAAGTACCAGATTAAGGTGTTACCGTAAATATCTCATTTCCCATAGCATCAATTATCTTAGCAGTAAATGGACGTCTTGTACGAAGAAGCTGTATTTGACAAGTATATGTATTCTTTAGAAACAAGGAACAAACAAGAATTGACAAAACTATTGTACAGTACGCATTAGATGAAAACTGCAACTATGAAATGAGTACTTCTAGGTAAAAAATAAACCAGTTTACATTAAGATCCAACTCACATGAGCAAGGTTTATCTGCCAAACAAGATCAAATATGCAATAACTAGAATGTGAAATATATAATTATACACATAATGCCTACACACATATTGACCAATTGGAAAGTTTATGACATGAATTTCCCCCTTCTCGACATGTATCATCAAACCCTCAATCCCTGTATCATGTGCTTATCAGTAATAAAAAGGTGATGAAAGAGGATTTCGCAAAGAAGATCCTATGATGTAGCCATAAAACACTAATATGCCACGAATACAACAGAGACTACAGATTCAAACAATAATCCATTAGTTTATTGCAAAATGTTTATGCAGATAATAGGATATCACATGTGAAGACAAGATGGCCAAGTGTAAATATTGTCAGTGGTCAAGCATGTAGGAAATACTGCAGTTTAGCATTTATCCACTATTGCTTGGAAAATAAAAGCTCAGAGAGCAGGGGGAAGGGAAAGAAGGTGGGAAAGGAGGGAGATTGTAGACAATGACATGAATATTTCTTTGTTATCCTCTTATATTTGCAGAGAAACTAAAATATTTTTGTAGAATCATACTCAGAAAGAAGTTAACAATAACAGATTTAAGTCAAGGTACGATGTCATATTTTAAGTCTAAGGTTCCTCAAGACATGATTTTTCTTAGTAAAATAAACATAATCAACATGCTATACCATTTTATTCGGTGAGACATTGGATATTAAATGATAAAGATGAAATGCTTACACTTCTACCCGCAAAAATGATTGCTGATGAACGTTCAGCTTAAGGTTCCTTCTTGAATCTACTTATGTCATATAAGTGAAAAGCAATAATATAAAATAGAAATTTTTGTTGGTTCTATGCCTTCTTTGTGCTTCTGGTTGAATGTAATATAACATACAGCAAATGTCATTACCTCCTTCTAGAGTCTTGGGCTCAGAAAATTTTGAAGTCTTGCTCTCTAGTTGTGCAAACTTAAACTAGCTAAAACAGCGTCACCATCAAAGTAGGTTTTCTTTCTGTCTGCCAAAAAGCCTTCTCAGTTTCTGTCAATAGTTTCCATGCCTGAGAACTTGGCAGAAACTTAAAGAGGACAGGTCGATATCAGGTTGACACCTTACAAGTCTATCAATATCTCCTAAGCCTTGTGCTTCATAACTAATCCCGTTATAATGAAACAACAGCAATGGGAGAGGGGGGGACAAGATAGGTCAAATAGTCAGCTAATATTTTGAGAGTACTTTCCATTCCACGGAGCAAAAGAAAATCAACAAATGTGCTCATGAAATGCAGATAAGTAAGGAAACGCATCGCACCACAAAATAAACAAAATATCATGCCCAACATCATTACATTCTTATGCTTGAATAGTGAATAGTAACATACCTGCCTAAAGATGAGATTGCTTCGCTCGTGAATAAAACCCACAGGCTGAAAGAGTTAACAACATTCCCAAAAACCATGAGATTGAAATTGAGAAGCCACTCTTCGTAATACAAAATATAGAAATATCAAAAACTTCAGTATCCCAAATGGAAGAGACTAGTACATACAGATTGTGGGTAGCACGCATCCATTATCACATACCGGCTCTCCTGTAATATTTTTTTGGGAAACATCAATGACCGACCAGCATCTATGAATAATAAGATTTGGTAACAGAAGGCTTTAGATACTCAAGACATATAGTATATAACACAATCATAGAACATGACCATAATATTATGAGAAACTCAAAGCTAATGTTAGTTTAATGAAGAAGGTGCTCAATTCATACTGATTTTAGAAAAGTTATATTCCAGTAAATGTGTTCCACAAGGCTGTCATGTTTTATAAAAACAAACGATACATGTATGTGATGTAATCAGTCAATGATTCTAATAGAAATTGATTTATTAGGTACAATAAAAATAATTTGTTACATTTTCAGGTTTTTTACGAGGTAAATGATACATAAAAACGCTGGTTTATGTGGGGTGTCCACATAAATGGGTGAATATGTTCTGTATCGCTCATTTTTAGAGCGAGTCCAATTAATTGGACGAGTACTCTGCCACAGATTTCATGCTTTGAAGATTGTTACCGTAAGTGTACCCAGTTTATATGGACTGTATTGCATACACAAACACATAACAAAGAAAAACTAGGAACTTGGAAGTTGACATAGAACTCATATGAATCCATAGCACCTAAGTCAGACTCCAATTTATGATCATTTATCCTGTTTCTATCAATGATGAATTTAGCAGGAACAAAATTATGAAGATTGAACAGTTATACCTCAGTGATGCATTATAAACTTTCATTTACAAGCATCAAATTAAACTATGAGTCACTAACAGAGCCAATACATTACCTGCTCAATAGCAAACATAATATTAGCCCATTCTATGTCTCTTGTGATAACCAAATTGGATCTCGCCAAAAGAGGAGCTAGTTTCACCTGTGAAACAAAAGAAGATATATAACTCATCTTCAGCTGCTCAACAACTTCTGAGTGAAGCAAACTAATGTCAATTGAACTGCTATAAATTAACAAGATACAATAGTTTAACAATATATTAAACAAAACGGTGTTGTGAGTATGAACAATAATAAATGTCAAAACATCATTGACTCTAATAATAAAAAAATCAACGAAATAAAGTGCTAATTTCTCATTGTCATTGTATTTGGCTTGTATATGAAGAAAGCAGCTTGCAGATCCTACCAACCCAAAGGTCCACCTAGTACTACATCATGCAAAATTTATGCTTTCAATAGAACGTGAGAACAGGATCAAGAAAGTTTTATGCCGAAAATAAGCAAATTAAGAGAAAATATAAGACTTAGTTTCAGTCACTGATAATAACTAACAACTTTTGTCCCCTTCACAGAAACTAGCTTTACGCTTTACGCTTTGTTTTCCTCAGATCCTTAAGGCTGTTTGGTTCAAATCCTAATATTATAGGATTTAGAATCCCATCAAGAATTTCAAATAGATAGGTTATAATACATGGCTTGGAATTTATAATCTTTTCCTTGGTTCAACATGATTAGGGGCTGTTTGGTTCGTTTTTAAACAGTGTGGAAAAGTTTTACAAGCCCTCCACGTCAGTTTTTAAGGTGCCACGTAAGATTTTATTTTTCCGTCGGTTTTTTTTCCCCACTTTGGTTCGTTAGGGTTGAAGAAGGGAAATGGGCATGAAATCGCCGCCACATCATCTTCTTTTTCCTCCCCCAATTCCTGCCCATTCCTCGTGAAATCGACGACAATCGAAGCCACGTCGGCTTGTTGCTTTCCTCGTTGATTTCTTCGGCGATCTATACTTACCTCCTTTCTCTCCTCCCGCCAGAAAGTCCCGCGACCTTTGTTGTCCCTGTATTCGAAGAAATTCGTGGGAGGGGCTCTGATCTTTGTCGACAATAATCAGATCTGATCTTTGCCGACGCTGTTGCTTCATAAATCAAGGTAAAAATTGATTTTTTTTAAAATTTTCTTATTATTAGTTTAATTTACTGCAATTATCTGATAATTTGTGGCAGGGGGTCTGATCTACGCAATTTTTCTCATTTTCGAAGAATTTTTTGTGATTTTCCTATTTTTTTGGGATTTAGAAGCAATTTACAGTGGATGCTTAAATTTTTGCTCTCTATAAGTGGATTAGCAAAAAACGAAATAATGCATGCTTAAATGTATTGCTATTAAATAATCAAGTTGATTAAAAAAAATGTAATAATGCATGCTTAAATGTGGTGAGATATATGTGAGAGCTGCATTATTCTTGAGCATATGTCATATGACCTGTTCTGATCTCATTTGCGTATTAAACACGATGCTAACGATTCATCCATTTATAAATTAAAATTCTGAACAATCTAAAAGAAATTAAAACGAAATTGAATTGTTATCTGATCCGATCCAAAGTGCATCATACAAGTCATTTTACAGAAGAACTATTCTACACTATCAAGCTAGCATTGATTCCTAATATTTCCTTTATATAAGTTTTTTACGGGTCACGTGGAATTGAAAGCCAAATTTCAAGATATTTTTTTAAATCAAAAATGCACTGCTACAAGTTTAACCTAATTTTAATTTGTTTTTGTAAAAAAGGTGATATTAGGAGTATCTTAGTCTAATATCATTTTACTAAGTTTTTGAAACGAGGAGGTTATAACGTGCACACACATACGCAATGTTTACCTGTTGAGGAATTTATAAAGAGAGAGAACAATTAAGAGCATAGTTCAATGATCTCTCAAAGAATCTCCACACGAGTCACTAGTTCAAGGATCTCCCAATTAAATTGAGAGTCTATTAGTGAGACAATAACTGTTTTCTCCAAATTTTACATTTTTTTGCATCAACATAATAGCTTCGTAGAAAACTATTGCAAATAATCAGTACAAACGTAGTTAGTATTGTCCATGAAAAAGTGCCTATATGGGCATCACCAGCCTCTCATATCAATGTTATCACGATATCACTACTGTTTTTCCAACAAAGTGCCTGTCCTTCTCGCATCATGTGGAGTAATGTCGTAGAACTGTTATCCCACTCATTTGCATTCCTATTGAACTCTAGGAGACTTCGTCCATGGAACTCGTCGCCTAATTTGTGCAAACTATTTTATTGATATATAAGAATCAAAACCAGGAAGTCAAAGAAAATTACTTTTGTGCAAACTATTTGTTTTTTTTTGTGATTTCTGATTTTGAGAAAAAATAGTTTCATGTTAATGTAGTTTTTTTCAATTTAGGAGCTAAAAGTGCATGTCTTTGATATTTTTAAATGCTAGATATTTCAGATAAGCAGTAATCTATGTGGGTCATTTTTAATTTATAATTTGTTCAGATTTTCTAAGAATTCGACTTTGTTTCTAACTGGGTAATAATTTTTTGCATCGTAGATGGATAATGATGGTGATTATTCTGATGAACAAAGTGTTGATAATATGGTTCAAGGTGCTGCCCTATCCGTTTTAATTATAATAATTACTGTTATAAGGAGAATGCAAGCAATGCGTAAATCAATTCGTAGTGGTCCAAGTAAGGAAAAAAAAAGACAAGAGAGAGCTAGAATTGAGCACATAGAGCGAATTTATAATGGTTTTAGTGATAGTTGTGTGAATTATATTAGAATGCGGAGTGGTGCTTTTGTTAAACTAGCGAGTATAATGAGGAACAATTGCATGCTAACAGACTCAAGAAATGTAACAGTGGAAGAACAACTTATCATGACACTGAACATTCTGGGTCATAAATCTAAAAATCGGATTATTAGATCTCATTTTATAAGATCAGGGGAGACAGTTAGTAGATATTTCAAAAAGGTATTACAAGCAATTATTTGCCTGCGTGGACGATACATGAGACAAGCTCCCAATGACATCCCCCAAGAGATCGTTAACAACCCGCTATACTACCCTTATTTCAAGGTATATCTACACTTTAAGCACATTTAAGTGTATAATCAATGGAAGTAAATTGTAATTTAGGTGTGTGATACATGTATTATAGGATTGCATTGGAATGATTGATGGGACTCATGTTGATGCAATGCTTCCGATTAATCTTGTTGCACGCTTTCGAGGCCGCAAAGGTGTTACACAAAATGTGCTTGCAGCTTGCACCCCAAACAAGCTATTCACATATATTCTAGCAGGTTGGGAGGGGTCTGCAAATGATTATAGGATTCTTCAGGATGCATTGTCTAGACCACAACCACATGGATTGAGAGTCTATGATGGTAATTAAATAAAGACTTAACTTAAAATTTATGAATGTTTAATATTCAAACTTGACTTAACAATTATCTTAATGAAATTGTAGGCAAATACTATCTATGTGATGCTGGGTACCCAACCATGCCAGGTTTCATCTCTCCATACCGAGGTGTTCGATATCATTTGAAAGAACATTCGGGTAAAACACCTAAGAATAGAAGGGAATTATTCAATCTAAGACATTCTTCATTGAGGTCTAAGATTGAATCTGCATTTGGCACATTGAAGAATCGTTTCAAGATTTTGTGTGCTAAGCCGCATTATCCTTTTCCTATACAAGTAGATATTGTATTGGCATGCACGATACTCCATAATTTCATTGCAACTGTGGATCCAAGAGATGAACTACTCAACGTTGATGAATTTAATGAAGACATTGATGGTGAGGTGGCCTTTGAGAATGACACTAATTTAGTTGATTTTACTCAAAATCAATCCCAAAGAGAGCAAACTAAATCAAGAAATGAGTGGAAGACTCTTAGGGATAACATTGCTTGGGCGATGTGGGTGGACTACTGTGATAAGTATAATCATGGTGTAACCACAGAGACTTGATTTTTTTTGTTTTATTTATGCTCATATATGTACTCAATAACTCTATTTCCATTAATGACGTTCTGTTTTTAATTATCGTTTTTAATGTTTTACTTCTTTCAGTTATCTAACTTTCTCTATTTAATTAGTAATGGCTGATAATACATCATTAAGTGGGAGAGATAATCCAAAAGGCAAGGGGGTAGTTCCATCACGTTCCCCACCACCTCAACCCCCGCAGTCTGTACATCATGGCGATGGTGGGTATTTTCCATTTCAGCAATCATATTTTGTACCACCACCTCAAGCATATCCGAACATGCCATTTCATGATAGCAGCTACTTTCCGATGCACCATACTCTTGGGTCATATACGAATATGCTGAATTCTTCAACTTTACCTCCACAATTTCACAGTCCTAATCTTAGTGGGGTGCAGCTTTCTCACACTAGTGGTAATGGATCTACTCCCGAATCAGGTTCCAAACTGGACCTCGTAGAAGAAGGGGTAGAAACATCGCCAAATCCAAAGAAGAAGAGGAAAAAAAACACATCTAAAAAAAACGATGAAGCAGGTGGTTCTCAAGGAACCAAACATTTATTCTGGGATTCCCGTTATGATGATGAGCTCATTCCATTTCTTACCGACTTGGTAAGGAAGGGTTATAAACCCGACAAAAGCTTTAAGAGAACTGCTTTTCATATGGCTTCTCAACACATTAATGAGAAGTTTAACACAATTTTTAAGTGGGATAATGTCATGCACCGCATCAAAACTCTACGAACAAGATTTCGTGATTATGGAAACTTGTCGTAATCTCAGTGGTGCTGGATGGGATGAAAGTACGAAGACTGTCATCATGGAGCCTGAATGTTTGGATAGGTGGATTGAGGTAAATAAACTCTGGTAAAACGATGATGATTTTTTCCATTTTTTTACTTATTTTCATTGAATTAATTAAAATATGTTTTTTCAGGACAAGAGCTTTAAGAATGCTAAGCTTAGACAATATGTCAATAAACCCCTGAGGCATTATGATGATCTCGCCCTTATCATCGGTGATGATCAAGCTACAGGACAATTTGCTAGTGATGCTTGGAAAAAGTTTAGCCGTAGTGAGACAATAAATCTTGGAGATGAGATGAACTCACCAATGCATTCTCCCCAATCTACTCAAGTACACATTTTAGATGACGAGGACACTCCTTCGCCTAATGAAGCACACAACACATCAAGTTCTAAAGCTAAGTCATCCTCCGTCAAGGTAAAGGCTCGTAAGACCAACCTAGATAGTGAGATCATGCTAAAGATGGTGGATAAGATAGATGTATTTAGCACAAACATGAAATGTGTGAATATGCATTGGACCGAGAAGTTATCCACGGTCCTATATGCTCATTCACATGACTTTACTGTTGCTAAGTTAGATACATACTACTGTCACCTCTTTATGAATGAGCATGAATCTAGACTATTTATGGGCATATCTTCGGATGGTCAGAAGGAGATGATAGAGGAGATGGTCAGAAGGAGATGATAGAGGCATTTCTCAACAAAGAGGATTGAAGACGTAGATCGTGGGTGTGTGTGTTAGTTTATGATTCTCACTTAAGTACTTTTTTGTTTGAAAACTTTTTTAATTACGGTTGAAGACTAATATCGTTTGGTTTAGAGACAATACTTTTTTAAAATGATGTTTTTGTGGTTGTCGAATTGTATGACAATAACTAATATTATATTTATATTGTAGTAGGTAGTTATTTGCTTTTATTTTTTAATATTATCTTTCATAGTGTGAATATTATGGTGTACTAACCTTTAAATTAAACTTGTGACTGCAGGATATTTATAAGTCACCATACAATTTTTTAAGATGCAAGCAACCTACAATGTGCACACATTGTACTGGATGGCTATTCCTCTGGGTATTTTGTGTAGTAAGTTTTCATGACACGTGTTTACGTTGGTGACTTTTTTACTTTTAGGCTATGATTATTGGCATAATATCTGAGATTAGCAACCTGCAATATCTATTGATATTGTACTGGATGGCTAACAATGATGATATTTATCATATAATGAGCCCTCAGCCCTATTCAGTTTGGTTTGCATCATCAATTTAGGCTATGATGATTGTCAGATTTTCTGAGATTAGCAACCTGCAATATCTATTGATATTGTACTGGATGGCTAACAATGATGATATTGACTAAATTCTGAGCCTTCAGCCATAATCAGTCATGCAACTCTTGTTGGCTTTGTGACCATTACTTGCTGTTGTGGGTTTGCTGGTTTTGTGTTCTGTTTGGGCACTGGTTGGTTTGCTTGTTTTGTGTTCAGTTTGGTGTACTTGCTGTTGTGGGTTTGCTGATTTTGTGTTCAGTTTGGGCACATGCTGGTTTGATGGTTTTGTGTTCCGTTTGGTGGACTTGTTGTTGTGGGTTTGCTGGTTTTGTGTTCAGTTTGGGCACAGGTTTAAATGCATCATCTCATCCAATTGCACTGCGCAGATATAGGGAAATGCATTTAATAGCATAATCAGTTCGGTTTAAAAGTATTGTCGAGCGAGCGAGCTGTTGTTGGTTTGCTGGTTTTGTGTTTAGTTTGGTTATTTTGTGTATGTTGGTTGTGTTCAGGTTGGTTTGCAATGTTTTGTAGACTGGTTGTAAGCCATGTTGTGTAAATGTTGTGCGCCACATCAGGTTTTGTGTAGCCATTTTGTGGCTGGGTGTGTAGCCGCATGTTGTTACTTGATTGTGTTCAGTTTGGTGTACTTGATGGTGTTGGTTATTTATGTGTGTAGCCTGGTTGTGAGCTAGGTTGGTTTGCTGGTTTAGTAGACTGGTTGTGAGCCATGTTGTGTAAGTGTTGTGCGCCACATCAGGTTTGTGTAGCCATTTTGTGGCTGGTTGTGTAGCCGCATGTTGTTAATTGAGTGTGTTCAGTTTGGTGTACTTGATGGTGTTGGTTATTTATGTGTGTAGCCTGGTTGTGAGCCAGGTTGGTTTGCTAGTTTAGTAGACTGGTTGTGAGCCACGTTATGTAAGTGTTGTGAGCATGTTCAGGTTTTGGTACGTGTTGGCTTTGTCCTCTACGGCCGTTGTCTTGCAGGTAAAAAACTTTTCTGTATATTATATTTTACTTCAATCATGTGGAATTAGGCTTTTTGTTTCACGTTTATTTCTTGTCTACAGTTAGCAATTAGCCCTGATGGGGTTCACATTCTTGGTGGCTCTAGTGATGGAAATGCTTACATATGGCAGGTATGTTTTAACTTTTAACATGTTTGCATCTCTAAATTCTCAGTTTCTCGCTTTGGACTCCATATTGTCATTGTTGAACTTAGGTACGTAGGCCTGAAAGTAATCCAATCATGTTGAAGGGACATGAAGCAGAAGTTACTGCTGTAGACTGGTATGCATTCTAGAAAAAGCAAATGCATCTGGTTCTTCTACAGCATAAGGTCTTTTGGCTGACATTTTCCTTGTGCCCTTTTATTTTATATCCCTTCAGGTGCTCTTCTGACTATGGGAAAATAGCAACTTTATCAGATGACTTCATGATGAGTGATGTCTCCAATAGTTTCCTGGAAGTTAACTTCATTACTTAAAAAATGCTCTTAATTATTAATCTTGTACCAAATATCTTTTACGTTAGGTTCGAGTCTGTAATATAAAAAAAGGAAGCTCCATTAGCACTAGATCGCCAACTGCAGTTCAAAAGAGAGTAATTGCACATTCAAGCATTGAATGCAGAAAGCTAATGATGGATGATTCTCATTCAGGATCAGAAGATATAGACAAGCACCTCTGCCATTAAAACGAAATGGAAATAAACTCACCCTCACCTATTCAAACTGAGGCAGTTAAGTTCACTACACCAGAATCCGGAAAGAAAAGAAAAATTGATATGTTTCTAAAGAGTCCAGCCTCTGAATCAGATAGTCCCTCTTCTGTCTTATATCCCCCTCCCTCTTTGAAAAGGAGAACCATTCGCGACTACTTTATGTCTTCATCTTGTAATTCTTGAACCACACTATTTTCTCTCTAAGCTAAGGTACTTATTTTCTCCCTCTATGATTCATTGACTATTTGCAATTCATATTACTTGATACTTTGTTTTTGCTGATACAGGCTTTTGAGTTTTGACCGACTGAGAGGCTGCTCCCCCGAGAATCCTCTCAAAGATGATTATTGTGGATATAACTGTCTAGAGCATCTAGCCTAAGAACTGCCAGCTATTAACATTTTTGTCCGATACCCATGAAGCTGGGGTAGTAAATATATGTTGTGTCATGCCAAAAATTTGTTGCCGAAGATCATAAGTACTTATCTCTATCAGCAAGAGTACTTGAGAAATACTTTTGTAACTGCTCTCTGATCAATATACTAAGCCAATTATGAGGCCAAGAAATGCTTGTATTACAGGATATTATGACATGAGCAGGCTCTAAACATCTACTTAAACTTTGTAAATTGTTGACCTGATGTATAAGCATATTGATTAATCTGAAGATTGTTTACTAATTGTTGACCTGATGTATAAGCATATTGATTTAATCAGTTATGTTTCTTTTCATATCACACTTCAACACAAGGCGTGAGCAGAGCAATAGAATGACAAAAAAGAATTTGCAGTTAAAGAGGATGAAAACAAAGGAATACCGTCATGCATTACTAAAGAAATCACGAACACGAGAAAGGGTAAGCTCAAACCCGTCCGTAAAAGCTACAAAAGACTTATAGAATCCTGTGAGTTGTCTATTGTGAATATTTATAATCAAGGTTTGATGTTTCAGTAAGAATATCTTTAGTTTTAAGTCCCTGCTTGAATATTTATAAGTATTGGCATTGATGGCTTATACGATGTAGGGGTAATCTTACCATGGTGACTATAAACACTTTTCACTACAAACTTTAAAACCAACCAAACACAAGAAAAGTGAGAAATGTCATATCAACAAAAGTTTTCCCTTTTTTTCCATGCGAACCAAACACAAGAAAAATAAATACATTGGTTTCCCATCATTTTTTTTGTACGAACCAAAGCGAAACAATCTATTTCTTGGAAAAGTTTGGAAAACTCAAAACTTGTGTTTTTGTACATGGAAATACATTTCCCTATATCTAGGAAACGAACCAAACAGCCCCTTAGAGGAAAGCAAATCCTAGAATTTTATAAGTTCCTGTTTGGTTCAAACCCAAAAATATAGGAAAGTAGAAATTGTACGGATACCTAATGCTAAAACTTTAAATTTTTAGGATTTGGCAAATATTCTCCAAATTATAGGATTTGGAAAATCCCAAAGTTCCTACTTTTTTTCATTTTATGGATCTAATGCCAAAAAAAATTTGAAACAAACACCCTATATTATATGGAATCCCGTTTATGAAAATGAGACACTTTTTGCTCCAAGAATTTCAAATCGACCCCCAAATGACAAAAATTATGTTGAGCCAGACAGCCCTCTGGCCTTTCCCTCTCATGACAAACTGACAAGATGGCATTTCCCTCAGGTAAAGCTCGTTATACTGCGATTGGTAGAAGGAATATAACTTATAATTGTACTGTTTTTAAGGAATAATCAAATTTTCAGAGACTAGAACAAAATTACGAGTGCTGTATACCCCCATTTGTTAGTTCCTTAAAAGTTTCTTTTTTTGATTAAATGAGAAGTGCCAAAAATATCAGCAAAACAACAAAAGTTTTGTCAAGTGAAGTGAAGGAATTAAGAAAGATGTAGTCCTTTTATTAATTTAAAATTACATATCATCAAGTTAATCAGAAAATTTAGATTATTCTACAATTTAGAATAAATAAACACATGATTTGCCCCTCTTTTTCATTTTTGGCAACAGAATATGCAAATCCAACTATTTTCCCAACAAACCAAACACCTGATTTTGACTGACTTCAAATACAATAATTTGCAGATATCAGGATGAATAATTGGGGTTAATTTTTTGAAAAATGCAGCATGCAACATTTACCAAACAGCCTGTAAATAAACTTCAACCAACATTTATGTGTAATATGAATTCAGATAGTCTACTCAGAAAAGTAAGACTTAATCTAAAGCACTGTTTTAAAAAGCCTCCGTCTAGTCCGCCTAGGCGTATGCTTAGGTCTAGGCAATATCTTGGCTGCCTAACTAGCGCCTAACGGTTAGGCGGTACCTAAACTGCCCACCTAGGTTTTGGGAGTGTTTAGGGAGGCATTGTTTGCTTACGTGAACTGCACCATTTAGGCCTTGATCGTGATTTTCTGTGTTGCGGTCTCCACGTCTTCCGACCTCCTTCAAACTCCTTTAACCTCTAAATATGAACACCTCCACTACTTCCTCCGACCTTCAGCAAAACTTCCTCGACCACCACTTAAATAAAGAAAAAAATAGACACCAATCTAGCACCTATGTTTTCTATAACATTAATATTCACTACTAATTATTGTAATTAAAAAATAAAAAAATAAAATCCTAGGCTCTTGGTGACGGATCCAACACCTAGGCCTCTAAACGCTTTCTATAACCTTGTTAGTTAGTTTTGTTATTTAGCATTTAAGTATACATGGTTTATTGTGGATCTAGGATTGCTATTTTTTTTTACAAATTTATATGAATTTAATACATATTTTATCAATTATTATAATTAAACAATTTTAAAAATAACCAAACGCCTAAGCGCTGCCTAGGCATACGCCTAGGCGTCTAGGTGCTAGGCACTGACTCAAACACCTAGTCCGCCTAGCCCCTTCTGCAACATTTATCTGGAGGAGAGAGGTTAGTCCTACTTAACTCAGTTTTGAGCTCTTTACCTTTATTTTGGATGTCTTTTTTCCTCTTCCTTGGGTGGGCTATAGAGAGAATAGATAAAGTTAGAAGAAGATTCATATGGGCCGCTTCTATGGATTGTTCAGGGCCAGCTAGTTTGGTTAGATGGGAGCATATCTGTAGACCTAAAAGCCTGGGTAGCATGGGTGTCTTAAATCTTCAGGTAATGAAGAAAGCTTTTCTGAACAAATGGATTTGGAGGTGGTTTGAGAACAACACTGTGTTGTGGAAGAATATTATCCAGGGGAAGTACTATGGAAATGGGAAGATCATGTATATTACCAATTCATCTTATACTTCACATTTCTGGGAAAACATTATTAAATCTGCTGATTGTTTCCTCGTCAATACACATGTTCAAGTAGGAGTTGGAGATAGAGCAGATTTTTTGGTTAGACAGATGGCTAACTTCAGTTTAGCCTCTTCATTTCCTGAGCTTTTCCAACTTCCTTCTCCTTTAGCTTTTGTGCAGTCTCAAAGAATTCAGAGTGAAGCAGCTTGGAAGTGATGTATTCAGTTTTCCAGGCAGTAACTGGCCCTCTAGTGTTCAAATACTTGGAGTTGTTGGAACTATTGCAATATAACAGGAAATGAGAGGCCTGATACTAGAATTTGGAAGCTAAGGCCTGAAAGAAATTTTACAACCTAGTCATTATATCAATTTTTGGCAGATGGAGGGATGAGAGTGCAATATTTTGACATTTGGATGGTTTCTGCTTCATTGAAGGCAAAAGTTTTGTTCAGGTTGACTCGGCATTACTTGGAAAATTGAATACAAAAAATAGACTTTTGATGAGGCACATCCAGGTTGATCCCAAGTGTATATCATGTGAGAGTATCAATGGAAAGAAACACATGACTACATGAGCATTTTTTAAATTTATTGTGGCTGTGTGAAATCTGTGTGGAAGTCTTTAGACTACAAATTTGATCTGTGTGATCATCCTGCTGATTTGTTTAGACTGGTGTTTTTGGAGACACTCATAGTTGAAAGAAGATATATGGCAAAGTTGGGAAGCTTATATCTTTCTTTTAGTTTGGAGTGTTCGGAGAGAAAGAAATAACAGAATTTCCATGCACAAAAGTAGTCACTCTGCAACTCTGGGGGGGAAAACACTCATTTTGCCTCTTCTTGGTTAGGGAAACTTGAAGCTGGAGATGGACCTGATGCTGCTGGCCATGCTGCTGTATATACAAGGCAACAGGGAGGGATAATGCAGGGAGGAAGTGATTGGCCCATTGATATATTAAGGAAATCAAAAGATGGCTGTTTACTTTTGTTTCTTTTGTGTGTATTTTGTGGTTGGTAAAACTATGTTGTTAATGTTGCTATATTTCGTAGAATGTATTAGGAGTGCACTCTGGGGTAGGGAGTGTACTCCTTGAACTATTACCAATCCATTTTGGGAGTAATGTCAGCGGCTGAAGCCTCTTGAATTCAGATAGTCTGGAAACTACAACCCCAAATATACATGTATATAATACATTACATTTCGATACAGAAGCTCGCAAACCCAACAAAATTTACCTCTATGCATAACAAACACATACATTATCCAAAAAATTAAAGTTCACCAAACCCTAGCTCTTACCTCCTCAGGTGAATCAGGGGATAATAACCCGCCAAGATTTTGACTAACTGGAGGTTGCTTAACAATCCTCTCTCTCCTTTTCTCTATCATGGCAAGCTTCTTCCTTTCTTCAGTCCACAGCTTCGCAAGCCAATCCCTAGTAATCGAACCCTCATAGCGAGCAGAACTGCCAAATCTGCACAATAAATTGGGGCGAGTTTCCAGAAATTTTGGGCCAATTCTTCGAAGTGAATTCATCATAGCTGCAAGTGACAGTTGATGAAAGATCAAAAAGAGGTGAGAGAGGGGAAATTGATCTTGAGAGTAGGCAAAGTGATGCTCACAGAACTCTCCGCTTGAATCTCCGCCTCCGTCGCCGTCAGATCGCCGGAGACAAAGATCTCAGTGAAGGGGAAACCTCTCAGGTTAGGGATTTTCCCCTTAAAAATTTTTAGGTCTTTTTAAGATCTTAGGCGGGGCAATGTAATATTAAGAAAGCTTCAAGTGATTTTGGGCTGCAGCCCAGGGCTTTTTGTATAACATGGGGCCAAGAGTTAAAAGTGAATAATGTCAGCAAAATAAATAGAATCGACTATAAAAATAAAATCACTATGCTATACGCTAACGGATGTTATTCGCATGGAAGTAGCTATGAAGTAGTTGAAGTTAAAAAAATAAGATATGCTTTGGATCTTTAAAAAAGCTACTTTCAGTATTTTTTTAAGAGCTGCCGTGTCACCTATGCGTCATCTCTATTTCCTATATCTCTTTTCTCTCCTAAAGTTTCGGAAGTACCGTAGAAGTAACTAAAATTGAGTCTATTTAGGAATAAAAAATATTTTCATTATTGCATGAATGTTCTCTATTTCTAAATAAAATCCCAAAATATCTTTTTTCTCTCTTCCTAGCAATATTTATAATTACTACCAAACAAAAAAGTGAATGAAGTGGAAGAAATAGTATTTTGTCTACTTCCAAAAACTTATGAAATAAACAAAATATCGTACTTCCACTACTTCTTACTTCGTAATTCCAGAACTAATAGATTTGATCTACTTCTTATTTTTGATAATTCTTGTCAACCATAAAAGTCCTAAAATAAACTCCATGATTGTCAACAAAATCTATAATCATCCATAACCGAAACAACACCACCACTGAAGTTTTTTTTCCCTAAATTTTTACAATCAACAATACATAAGGGTGGCCCAGCCCGACCAGGAAAACCGGGTCCGGGCCAAGCAAAAAGGGGTACCTGAGCAGGACCTGGGCCCGAGCGGGCCGACCGGGTTTTTTTTTTTTTTTTTTTTGCTTAAAATTAGTTTTTTTGTAAAAAAATTCAAGAGTAATTAAAAATAAAATATGCAAAATTTTGATAATAAATCAATTATATTATTAATCACTTTTAATTATACAATTTACAAATACAAATATCATAGAAATTAAAATGATAAAAAATAAATTCTTTATTATTAAATCATTAATTATTATAATTTTTTTGGAATTTATCGTATCATAATAGATGAATACATCCTAACTAGGTTGGCACCTACACATCTATATCACTATCATTTGCAACTCTTTCTAAAATAAATTATCAAAATTTTACGGGTAAGAAATAAAAATTACAAATTAATGAGTTATTTGACTAATCTTTACTCTTTATCTCTATCTCCTATTGTCAACTCATCAAGTCTATCTTCAATACTTGTCATCTAATCAATGTCTTAAGTTCCCTTCTCTGACCTCCACCAATCTTGTAGGCATGTTACCGCATGTACTGTAGATGGATCAAAATATCCCAAAAACAGCAAAAAATGCTAAAATTTAAGGGTATTTTGGTCATTTGGTTAGGGGCTGCCTCTATAAATAGAGAGGGGGTTTCATTTGTTTTTCTCATACAAAACTCATTTACTTCTCTCTAATTCCCTCTTATACTTTCTAATACTCTCTTATTCTTTCTTTTACCCTCTAATTCTCCAACCAAATGGCTTCCTTCTTTGATTATGAACGGCAAGTTCCAACTCCCGATATTAAAAAGAGTCCTACTCCTACTCCTACTACACCTATAGCTACTCCTCCTACCGATGTTGATCATGAATCCGATGGCGATGATCCCAAAGCTAGAGCTCCTAAAAGGCCAAGATTCAATGTGTGAAATTTTTTCGAGAAGATAGAAGTCACCAAGGATCAACACAATAAACTTCTCACTCAGAAGGTTAAATGTGCATTGCGTGGTCATATTTTCCAAGCTCATCATAAGAACGGCACCAATCACCTCAAGCACCATTTAGAAAAGCATAGTAGAGATCAAGCGGTAACGTCTCAAGGAGACATCTGTCAGTCTCTACTCTCTCAATCATCAACCTCCGGTAGCCTCGGTTTTTGAATCTGTAACACAATTAAAGCTAGGAAATATGTCATCAGCTTTATTATTCTTAAAAACTTTCTTTTTAAATTAGTAGAAGATGATGAATTTGAGGATATGATTAGAGATGGTTTTTATCCCTCTTTTAAAAAAAAATCTTATCAATCTTGTCGATGTGATATTTTGAAATATTATCACGAGGAACAAATAAAAATAATTTCTTATTTTTAAATTTTAAACTGTAATTTTTCTTTAACTTCTGATATATGGACATCTAGAGAGTAAACTGATTATTTATGTATCACAGTACATTAGATTGATAATATTTGACAAATGTTTAAAAGAATTATTTCTTTTATTTCATTTAAAGATTCACACATTGGTGTTAATATTGCAAATTTAGGTGTTAATATTGCAAATTTAATAATAGAAGAACTTTCAAAATTAGAAATTTCTAAAAAATATTTTTCTCTTTCACTAGATAATACAAGTAATAATAATGTAGCCGTAGATCATATCAAATCATCTTTGTTATTATCATGTCATGGTAATATTTTTCATATTAGATGCATATGTTATATTTTAAATTTAATTGTTCAAAGTGTATTTAATGAAATTAAACCCATGATAGAATAGGTTAAGGTTATAGCTTATGCTCATAATGCTTCTGAACAAAGACTTAAAAGATAAAAACAATTCTGTAAAAGAAAATCTTTGAAACCTAGGTTAATTCCAAAATATGTTGATAATAAGTGGAATTCCACCTATGCAATGTTAAATGTGGCAATAGAGTATAAAAAATTATAAATAATTTTATTACTTTTTTATGCTTCTAGTTCTAGCTCTGGTAGTATGTATAGAATAACTGTTGAAGAATGGATAGTTATATATAGTGTAAAAGAGATATTACAAGCTTTTTATGATGCTACTATGTTATTATCTGGTTGTTATTATCCAACTATTATTCAAGCTGCTTTACAAGTTTTAAATATTTAATTTTTTTACTACTTATCATATGGATAATTATTTTGGAAATATAATTTCTCAAATGAAAAGTAAATTTAATAAGTATTTTAGGAATATTCTTATTATTTTTTGTTTGGAGGTTCTTATCGATCCATGTTTGAAGGATGTTGGCCTTCAAAATTTGTTAAATTATTTATATGAAAACATTATAATAAGAACTGATGATGGTAAGACTATTACTGATCTTACTTATTATAACACTATTAAATATTATTTTTAAAAACTATATGAGAAGTATGCAGGTAGATATGATGTAAGTACACATCAACATACAACTTCTACTTTTACAAGTTCAAGCCAGGGCAAAGGTAAGAGTTTTAATAGATAATTAATGATAGCGAGTAGGGGTGTTAACAGAGCGGATACGGTTCGAATATGATACTTACCATATCCATATCCGCTTTCTATAAACGGATATGGATACAGATACACATTATCTTCGGTAAGAAAAAACATTAACCATATCCGCACTCATAGGAAACAGATATGGTTCGGATATTAGAGAATCGGATCAAATACGATCATGGATATGAAACAGATATTTGACAAACGGATATGAATTTGTACACAAACATATAAATTACAATCAAATGGGTAAATTATGTGGTTGTAGGCTTCTCCCTACATAAATGTATGTGGTCGCAAATCGAACTTCAAATTGAGAAGAGACTATGCATAATGAGCTTAACATATATCAATATCAAATAATAAAAACATAATACAACAATCGCATATATATGCAATATCATATAACTAGAGTTTCGATTCGACCTTATGGAACAACGAGGATGAGCGGAGTTTGGGTGGGACTGGGCGTGCTGGTCCTTCTCGCGGAGGAGCACGTCGGACAGGGGCCGAAGGAGGATGAAGGAGATGGCGGTGGGATAGGAGGCAAAGAGGGATCTGATGACGAATCTGGAGGAGTCGGGGTCGCAGAGGCGGCAGAGGGTAGAGAAGGAGTGGGGAGATCGAATGGAGAGGGGATGTCGAGCGGAGAGGGAGATGAAGGCGGAATGCATGCAAAGGAGTGTAGTGTGAGGCGGACTCGCGAGATGGCTATCGAGGCGGGTGAGGGACGTCGAATGAGGAGGCGGGGATGATCAGATGGAGAAGGAGAGTCGAGCAGCGAGGCGGCGATAGAGGAGGTGGGGTGTCGGAGGTTTGAGGGAGCATGTTTGGAGGTTAAGGGGTGTCGGCAGGTTGAACGGCAACACGTGGAGCGGGTGACGGAGAGATCCGGAACAGCGGAGTTGAGAATTTGGGAATTGATGAATGAGGAATGGATTTGGTAAAGCTAGGTTTTTTTACTTGGGTTGGGTTGGTTAGCAGTTACGGCTTTGGATATATAAATAGATTTGAATTCTTATGTTAATTGAATTGTGGATATATGTATCTACAATCGAATCTTACACTCATATTCGTATTCGGATCCATATTTGAAAAAAAAATAAAGACCAGATTCATATCCGAAACCGTATCCACCAGGTTATAAAAATAGCTCACCATATCTACATCCGTTCGGATACAGATGTGAATCGGTTCGGATAAAACCGAACCGTTTGGCACCCCTAATTACAAGTCAAAATAAACCACTCGCCAAACATATTACGTCTCGTTTAGTACGCATGAATGAGTGGAAATAAAATACAATTCTAACTTCTCATTCATGCTTACCAAACATGATGTGTTTTTGGATGCTAGAAATGACATTCATATTTATCATCAAATTTGACTTAATATGTGAATTGTTATTCCCAAGGGAAAAATATTTCTGGGCCCCAAAAAAAAATAAAAGAGATGTGTCGCAGCCCCCTCTTGTTTTTCCCTTGTGTTTCAGCCCTTTCACACTCTCCCAGAATTTTTTTTCCCGAAATTACCCTTCCCCTCTTCTTCTTCTTCTTCTCCTCTGCCTCCTCTCCCCTCTCTTCTTCTTCTTCTTCTTCTCCTCATCTTCTTCTTCTCCAGATACCCCCTCCCCAGGCCCCGTCCCCAACCTCCTCTGTCTCCTTCGTCAATATCCCTCTACTTAATCGATTTGGGAAGACCTTCAATTGGTCTTTGAAGCCCAACCTGATGGGGATTGCTTGCACACAAGGTACAATCTTTATTAATTGAGCTGGAGTTGGAGTTTTTGAATTTGATTGAGTTTTTAAGTTCATTGTATTGGATTTTGGGCTTCCATGTTCGATTTGTGATTAAATTGAGTGTTTTGATGTTGAATTATGTCAATGTATTAAGGATTTGATGTGGATCTGTTTTTTATCTTGATTTCTTGCACACAAGGTGTTTGATATAATGCATTGGTGAGAAGAAATAATTTTATTGGAGAGAATGGCTCAATCTCAGGAGTGTGTTATAATTTGATGGAATTAAACAAGATTTGAGACTGATGAAAAAAATCTATACAGGTGAAAACCCAGAGATGATTAGTTGTTCAGAATAATAGTTTTGATTTGTCTTAGTGAGTGCATTCTGTGGTGAGAGAGGAATGGACAGTTGAAGTTTTTGATAAGGGAATGCTCCATGAAGGAGTGCCTAAAGATAGAATGGTGAAGCTTCTTCAGATTGCATTGAAGTGCATATACAAATCTGTCGATGCTCGACCAACTATGAGCCAAGTTGTCAAGATGATACATTCATTGAAGGAAGAAGATGATAGGCCTGTTGTGTCTAAAATTGATTCAAGAGATGCTTAAAATTATGGAGTCTGTTTTTATAATGTCCTGGAATTTATGTATATGTTCCGTTTGACTATTATTATTTGCTAGTGTATATGTGTTGGTCATATATAAGGAGGTGGAAAATATTGTTTATTTGTTACACTGATGACATAGGTGATATTAGTCCAAATGGTGCTTTCAAACTCAAATTTAATAAATGAGGATGTCTATTTCTTGTTGATTTCTTGTTTCATGGTCTCCTTGACATTAGAAATTAAATAGATTCTTGTCACATATTTTTGTTAATGGACTGTGGTAGAGACACTAATTGCATTATTTCAAATAATGATGGGTCATCTCTGTGTTGCTAGTCCAAATGACACTTTCAAGTTGAAATTTGACAAAATCTAGCACGGATTTGCATGAAGTGTGTACTCATAACATGTTAAGTTTCAACTAACCATGTTAACGTTCATTATAACATGCTAACTTTTAGCTGAACATGTTAACTTTCATCATAATATGTTAATATTTACTATTACATGTTAACTTTCATCATAATATATTAAATTGAAGCTATAATAGTTACATGTTAAGATTATTGAGTTCTTGTATATCTTTGGCAGAAAAACAAAAGGGAAAAATAAAAACAGGAGAAAGAAAGGGGAAAATGTTAACTATAATAGTTCTATGTTGACTTTTAGTAGAACGTGTTAACTGTCATCCTAATATGTTAACTTTCATCCTAATATGTTAACTTTTCATATTGAATGTTAACTTTTGTTGTTTTATGTTAACTTTCATCCAAACCTGTTAACTTTCACTGCTTTATTTTCGTAGAAGCATTTAAAAAAAGCTATGAAATTGGTGATTGGTGTGTATTGCTTATTAGTATAATACTTTTGGTAGAGCAATGTAGGTTATCAAGACTTTTGTAGCACATTGTATTATATTTTTATAATATCTAAGATTGTAAGTCTAATCATATCGTTTATTCAAGCAATATCAGCTATAAGAATGTAAAAATTTTATTATAGTGAACATTAACATGTTTGAAAGTTAACATGTTATGATGAATGTTAACATGTTCAGTTAAAAGTTAACATATTATGGTAAAAGTTAACATGTAATAGTGAAGGTTAACATATTATGCTGCAATTTAACATGTTCAACTGAAAGTTAACATGTTACGAGGAGAACTAACATATAATGATGAAAGTTAATATGATTTATGAAGAAAGTTAACATGTCTTCAATGAATGTATCATCTCGGCAACTTGACTCATAGTTGGTCGAGCATCGGCAGATTTGTATATGCACTTTAATGCAATCTGAAGAAGCTTCACCATTCTATCTTCTTCAGATTGGTAGAATGGTGAAGCTTATATATAATGAGATTTAATAGTGTATTGTAACTTGAAGATTATATACATGATTTGTATATATTATGTACACAATAACCTCAAGATTATGTACATATTATGTATCATAATATTCAGGTTTTGATAAACATAATTTATATATAATCTTCAGTTTATTATGCACATCAAGTTCTATTTGAATGAAGTTGTACATATTCACATGACAGCCAAAATACATTTCACATACAATCGTAACAAATTACACCAAAATTGATCACTAAATAGACACAATACATTTTATTAAATTTTGATCTAAGTACAACCAAACCATAAGAACACATAGTATAATCAACTAAACAATGAAACATAACACGTTACGAGTAATTCTGGATGCAACATAAGGATCATCAGTACAACAATCTTAAAATTGAGTAGTAGTCACTAGAGGATGATTCGACATTCCACAACCATAAAAATTATAACACGCATTTGAGATTGAACCATTCTTTCCAATAAAACCATTTCTTCTCACCGAGATATTATATCAAACACCTTGTGTGCAAGCAATCCCCATCAGTTTGGGCTTCAAAGACCAATCAAATTTCTTCCCAAATCGAGCCAATATCCCTCTGCATCCCAAATCATCTCATATTCACAATCCTTGTCATCCTTCTCTTTAGATGAAACTACCAAGTTCCGTCCAATCGATTTGATAGAATTCATGCATTCGCTCAACCATGTTAAAAAGAAGGGAAATAGCAATATAGGATGGATATATTAGAATACTGAGTCACCTCCAGCTGTGATTAATGCTTTACTAACCCAAGGATCACTTTGTTCTTGGTCTATTTAGATAAAGAAAAAGTAGTCAAATAGCTAGCAATTCCAAGCAATAAATCAAAATAGGAAAATTGTTAAACATTAGCAATTTAGCATCAATCTCATCGAATCACCTCCAGCCACGTGTGGCACCCTGCTAGCCCCTAGATCAGCTCATTCTTCTTGCCATGTTAAAGGTTGAGACAGAAAAGACAATCAACAGGCTTGTACATGATATTCCAACTAGAAAAGAAGAAAAATAGAAGAAAGTATTGGTGATGTTAGGATGCTTTTAATTTGTCATCCACAGCAGCTGCCAATTAGCTATCCTATCGATCAAGCTCATCTTGAGTACCAAAAAAAAATGGATGTGTGAATATTACAGAGAAAATCATAAGAATATTAGCTTATGCAGAACTTCAAAATGAGCAAGATGTCTTGCCCACGAAATGAGATTCGCACGCTCAAACTCCGACATAGGTGAAGCTGTCACTTGGAGTGAGAGCTCTGGTGGCCAGCCCAGTCGAAGACCTTGAAGCGGAGGAGGTGGAGGAGGTCGGGGACGGGGCCCGAGGAGGGGGGAGGGAGGAGGGGTGGGGGGTTGGGCAAGGGTCTGGAGAAGAAGAAGAGGAGGAGAGAAGAGAGAAGGGAGAGGAGCAGTTAGCGAAGATGAGGAGAGAAGAGAGAGAGGAGAGGAGGCGGAGGAGAAGAAGAAGAAGAAGAGAGGGGAGAGCAGGCAGAGGAGGAGAAGAAGAAGAAAAGGGGAAGGGTAATTTCGGGGAAAAAATTTCTGGGAGAGTGTGAAAGGGCTGAAACACAAGGGAAAAACAAGAGGATGTTGGGACACATCTCTTTTATTTTTTGGGGGCCCAGAAACATTTTTTCCTATTGCCAATGAAGGAATTGATATTCCCATTTGAATGAGAATAAAAATAATAAAATAAATTTTAGATATACATTTTTAAAAATATTCTCACTTAATTCTTTAATCATATCCAAACATGAAAATAAAAATGGACATTTCATTCCTACATTAATTCTGTTCTCGCTTGACTCTGTTTCCGCAGCCGTTAAAGTTTGCTTATAGTACACTTTAACCGATTGCAAAACATGCTCATGGTCTACTTTACAAACCCCAATAACTGACACCAAAGGAGTTTTTTTTTTTAAATAGATAAATAAAGATTCCGGAGATTCTTCCGGCTTCCAAGCCGAAACATTTCTAACAAATAAATAATTAAAAATTGTCCAAAAAATAGTAATTCAAAATAAATAAATAAACAAATAATTGGATAAAGAAAGAAGTAATAATAATACAGTACTGGCAGCGGCAGGATCATTTATTATTATCAAATCGCGAGGAGCCCTAATTTCGTCATCAGCATTATCATTATCCTCATCATCGATTGGGGGCTAATTGGTTTCTCTCTCCGCTCCTCAGCTCTCGCGATTCCGGCGCTCTGATTGATGCTCTTAACGGAAATGGATTTCGATTTGGGCGCGAAATGTGAGGTTTTGCTTTGAGGTAGGTACTGTGATTTTTGTTGCATTTGCATTGATTTTGATGACTGTGGGTAATTTGTTCCTTCTATTTGGGCTGAATTAGTTTGAGCTGAAAAAGATATTCAAGAAGAGGAAAATCTTGAATTTTGAATATAATTTCTGGATGTTCGAGGATTTGGATACTATTGGCTTCTTAGATCACCATCTTGAGGGGGAAAAAATGAATTTTTATGATAATTTAAGGACTCGCGTCTCGTAAACTTAGGATTTATAATTATTAACAGGCTCTTAATCTGTTATTCTGTTGCCCCGCCCTAATGATTAGAGAGTGGAAGTTCTAATCTTAAATGATTTCCTAAATTTTTAATTTTAATTTTTTTTAGTGAAACGGCTCTTCAAATTTGCATGAGATCCAAAAATGGATTGGGCATCAGTATTTTGTATTGTGCAGGTAATATATATTATTTTACTTGCTAATACTCCGTACACATGTTGGAAACTCTTCGGGGTCATTCTGTGATGTTAGCATTAAAATAAAATCAGAGGCTGTATACATAGGAAATACAAGTAATCCACAAAATCCGGTGCATTTTGCGTTGCCGCGAGTATACATATTTGCAAGTGTACTTTTAGATGGCTGCTGCTGGCAATATTTGCATGGATGTCCCTGAATCCCAAACTTCAGATGGTGAGCAGTCAGCTGATAGAAGTGAACTCAGAGATGTCCCCCTCAGTAAGTCTTCTTCGGTATCCGGTGTTAAAGCAATTGTATCTTCTTCAAGTGGTGTACATGAGCTTCTTGAATGTCCAGTATGCACGAATTCAATGTATCCTCCCATACATCAGGTATGCTCTTCATTCGTTGTTTCGTTCATGTATAGCATGATTTTATGGGTTTCGAATTGCTGCAACAAAAAGCCAATTATTATGCTCTCTTTGAAACTTTTTTCCTACTATGTCTTATTGTAAATCGTCAGATGCAAGTTTATGTTCACTAATTGCTGACAACATTTTCGACTCGATAACATAGTAGTTGTGTAAGTTTGACGGTTTAAGTACAATAGGCTGGCAAAGCAGACTAGATTTGTACTGTATTTATGCATCATGGGTTAAATATACTAGTTAAAAAATATGAACATTTTACCTGGAAGTAACTAGCAAGATGAAGTAAGTTTCAATGCGTTAATTGCATTTTGTTCTTTATCTGTAAATTGTCACTAACATGACATTATTAGATTTGAATGTATATTAAAGACGTAACTATTGTATTCTCTGATACATAACCCGAGTTGGTATTCAGATAGCCTGCTGATTCGAGAAAGTATTCATTCTGGAATTTCTTCTTAAGTGTCTTTGCATGGCCTCAATGATCCAGGTCTCATTCTGAGGCTTGGGACTGTTACCAGCAAATTCACATTCATAATTTTTGGGATACTTAGAGCTACACATGCCAAAATTGTAGACGACTGTTATGAACTCTGCAACTTACTTGGGCTACTTACCTGGCAGTTATTCTTATGTATTTTCACATGCCATTTTTTTAGATATTTCATACTTAATTACAATGATGATTATAGAATGAAAGAGAATATTCATTACGTACCTATTTGCAGTGCCCAAATGGCCATACTCTTTGTTCAAGCTGCAAGCTTAGAGTCCATAATCATTGCCCTACTTGCCGACATGAGTTAGGTGATATCAGATGCTTAGCTCTTGAGAAAGTTGCTGAGTCACTTGAGCTCCCCTGTAGATATCAGAACCTTGGATGTCCTGGAATATTTCCATACTATGGAAAACTGAAGCACGAGCAACTGTGCCAGCTCAGACCTTATAATTGTCCCTATGCAGGATCTGAGTGCCTCGTCACTGGTGACATTCCAACACTTGTAACTCACCTGAAAAATGACCATAAGGTGGATATGCATGATGGGTGCACATTTAACCATCGGTATGTCAAATCCAATCCGCACGAAGTTGAGAACGCCACATGGATGCTCACTGTAAGTCATTTCTTTATTTGGTTATTATTGGTTACTTCCAAGCTGTGAGCATGCAATAGAAATATTATGGGCCTATCTTTTGGATAGGGTCTACATTGCAAACTCATAGTGTTATTGGTGATTTCCATGACACATTCATTGATACTGATACGAGGAGCATCAAAATGCTATTTGCAATTTTGTGAACCTTTAATTTCCCTTTAACATTTTTGTTTTTAAATTTCTAGGTTACTATATGAACCTTCTACAACTGAAACATTTTCCGGTTGCAGGTTATTTTATGTATGACCCTTTCATTACAGATACATTTTTAATCCTTGTTTGGCTTGGATAGTTAGGTTCGTAATTGTTCATTTTAACACTGAAGTGAGGTGCGAACTTTGTATCCCATCAAGAGTTTGATTAATTTCATCAAAGATGTGGAGTTGTACTTTAGGATTTTCTCAAAGTCGGATGATATTGGGAAATTATTTTTAAAAAGTAC